ACCTTTACTTCAGTAAAGCTTGCAGAATCGGGAAATCTCAACCAACTGCTGGTGGGGGGGCCGAGGGGTGGTTTCGTGGCGTGGTGGAGTGGTGGCAAGCCTGCACTGGGTCCTGTTTACGAGCCGGGCTTGCGTGGTGGGTGATTAAGGTCTCATTCTTGGATTCTTGCAGGCACATACACACTTATCACGTATAGGGCGCTCTTGTGTTCGAGTGGATATCTATTCACACTGTATCAGCGTGAGTGCCAGTTATTCTAGAGGCGAACACGATAGCTCTGGCCCATTTATGGTCATCTCAATGGAGAACCACTTGGGTGCCGCGAACAGTATTGGGGGTTCTATTCTGTAGCATGTATCATATGTTCACCACAACTGTGGCGTACTAGGCGTCTAGTTACCGTACATGTCCTCCACATACGGTCGGCGAGCATGGACTACAATCTGACCGCTCAAATTCCGCGTAGCCTCACAACGCGACACACAGAAGCGCCGCGCGCGAAATCAGGCGCGATGCAGGGGGGACTCTTCGGATTACTGAGTAACTCTGTAGACTGAGGACGCTGGTTCTACGCTGGATGCGTAAATTACAACTGCGGCGGAGTGAATGGTGTCGAGACCACGAATGTATCCGTAATTAGATCAGAGTGTATGGTCATCAGACAACGAGGCGCCATGGCGCTCTCCGAGCTGCGGACTCTGTGGGCAGCTCAGCGATCCGGAGGAGGGTGATAGAATTCCTATTACCCACTGCAGAGAGTCATCACAAGTACAGTTGACAGCAGCGATAAGACGCGTTTCCGATTGAGCGACGAGGAGCGTCGGTCTATAGTCACTGGCGCGTCTTCATCATATCGCTGCACGGTATCTCATTCTCTCCAATAAGTCGCGGCGGAAACAAGATGCCGCGCGGCGTACCGACGCCATGATAGCGCGGGTGTCATGATTCTATGACGTGATTCAGTAGTACAACGCGATAGCCTACAAAGGATATTGAGCACGGTCCGGCTCCAGTGTTCCCTTGAAGTCAGCTAGGCACTACCCGCAAAGTGACTGGCGAGAGTCACGAATCGAATAAGTGTGTATGAGTGTAAGTTCACTCGAGAGGTACCCCAGTCTTAGAGAGGGGATGTCTCAAGGACATTATGAATCGAAGTCTGTAGCAAATAAGGTCGCCGCTGTACTCACCATAATCGTACGCGAAGCGGATATTCGCATCGAGTGCATCAGCTACGCATTATGGGGGTTATAGTCTACTGGGTCATTGGAGCCCGGTGCAAGAGCGATAGATATCTGTGAAAGACACTAGAGTCCCGCATCTCGCTGGGCAAACGGGCGGAGTCACTGATTCTGGTCTTCGCAGTAGAACTTCTCACGAGATTACAGAGAAGCCCCACGGACGGCAGGGAAACTAGTCGGCTGCACGACTCTTGGGCGTCCTTAGAGCAGATTGCCGGAGATATCCTAGACAGTGCGAGCATATACATAAAAGTGAAGATAGAGGATATTCTGCAGGCACATTGTGATATAAAAGGCGAGCATATTGACACTCTCTAATGTGTAACTCTGAGCCTTCTGTGAATGTGGTGGTGACTCTCGGAGATACTACAGGGTCAGAGGCCAGTTTTTTACATCACTGCTGGAACGCAACAAAGGTGATGGGGAGGCTTTATCTATGAGTAGTGGTATGAGACGGCACACACCTAGCGCGCTCTGAGGCTATCGAACAGAGTCTTGGCGGACACGATAGCAGTCACATAAGACGTACATTCGAGTCCGCCTGAAACGAGCACGCGCGCTTCGTAGGTGTTAGTGATAGTGGGAGCCACTGATACACGAAAAGAGCACTACTCTCATATGCAGCGGGACAGCAGGATACATTTGAATCATTTTTATCTTCATGGAAAACATGCCGTCAGTGGTGACCGGGGTGAGGCTTACTGCGAGCATCGGTGGTGCTCCAACGCAGATGCTCAAGTATGGAGGGGCTCTGGTCTATATATATCTTGCCTAGACTCTGAGGAAGAGATGACACGTATGCGTGTTGTGTGCTATACACATGGATATGGGTTCGCACGCTGCAGTGTTGTGGCACTGCATGCAGTGCCAGTGTGCGTGCTACAGGCGCGCTCGTGTGTCTGTCTCTTGAAGTGTTTCTCTCACCTGAATTCACAGTGTAGAACAATCACCAACTGGAATGCGGTCGTCGCAGACGACATTATTGGGGCAGAGAGATACGCATTCTACGTGTGGACGGCGGCGCGGACAAGGATCGCTACAAACGGCGACACGTACCTAATGGGGTATCCGGACGTGTCCGACATTGGGTAGACGTGGAGTGTTTTCTGTGACTAGGCGTCCATCTTGTGTCACTTTTAACTTGGCTATTTGTACAGAGTGTAGAATGGTTCTTATAATGTGTAGCTGCTCTAGGCACTCTGCAGGAATTCTGATAACAGGAGGGGCGCTGCAAGCATCTGTGTCACACTTAGGGCGGATTATGGGTTTAGTCGAATACATGCGGTCTCTCTCGGGAGCTGTACGAGACGGAACTATGATCAAAATTAAGACCTATGTCCGTAGGATGATAAGTGAGTGTGTATATTGTGGGCGCGTGTCTTATGGCGAGATATAGATCAGAGGCGCCCAAGGAGGCATATATGGAGAGGGCGTCGGACAGACATATGGGGAGATAAATGTACTTGGGGGTACACGCCAGCGGATACCAGCCATAGCACCGTCAGTAGCAGGTGACGCTAGTAGTCTGAGGCACGCAGGGCAAAGAAAGTGCACGGCCGCGCGTATTGTGCGAGCAGCGTAGAATTCTACTTTGCGGTGTAGTGGTAACCTGGGTGCAAACTGTGATTGAGGGTTGTCGGAGGGGCCATGTGATAGGGCGGGCTCGAAGCTGCTCGAACCGCATTAGTGGCAGAATCAGGGACATAGTATTATAGTGGGGGAAGTATACATACGGAGTAAGCAGGGTCGCGAGTACGTGACACAACGAGCAATGTATAGAGAGTCTATCGCGGGTCGCGGTCGTGCATATATAATGATATACGCGTGGAGGTGATGTGTAGGGGGATTGCCGGTGGTATCACTGTGTGCGCGAAGCAAATGAGTGGGGGACGCTGGAGTCAAGCGACACCAAAGAATGGTGCTTGATAATGGAATGTCTCTCTCGCTCGTGCGGAGTAGCGTTGATAGCGGAGTTGGAGTGGGGTGTGGGGTGGTACAGTCCGGTTTGGGTTACCGGGGCGCGATTCAACAGTCTAGTGAGTGGACGCAGTTTCAAATCTTGATAATGATCCACGTCCCAGCTGTGCGTTCGTGTGGGGGCGTGCGGTGGCGACGTGGTATCAGCTCGGACGATGGTGGAGAGAGGCAGACCTCTCGTGGATGAATACTATACTGTGCTAGGTATGTAGAACTAGCGGCTGGCGTGAACGACAAGGGATAGGGGATGCGTAGTGTGGTATGGTCCGTGTAACTGCACGGCTTTGGGGGGCAGGTCGTCTTAGGGGGGATGAGGAACGATCAGAGATGGCGTGTGACTAGTGGCGCAAGTGGCGGGGTTTGTGGCGTTTTGGGACAGTGTGGGCTTGAGTTGTAACGATGAGTGGCGTGGGGTGTGGTATAGGGGGACGGGCGGAGGGGCCGAGCGAGCTAAATAGGGTGAGGGGGGACGGGTCGGTGCGAGGAGGCGCAGGGGGGGTCCGCGGACGTTTCTCGGTGCTAACATACGCAGGCGAACGTGCGACGGGTAGGGAAGAGCGGACGACATGCGCGGTAGAGTATTTATATATAATGGCTGTAGATACGCTGACGACGTGGTGTGCGTTAGGTGATGCCCCCGAGCGCGAGAATGGATGATGTGGCAGTGTCAGTGGGTCGGGGAGAGTTGTGGGTGTTCTGTATCATGTCGCGTACGCGGTGATGACAATATGTGCGTGGGCGGAGGCAAGCATCATCAGCACGGCGGCCAGACAAAGCTGTTCGAGATCGCGTCTATGCTGGCCTCAGGCGTGCGAAGTGTCGGGATCGGTGTGCAGGTATATTGCCTGGCTGACAAGTCACATTGGTGCTGAAAGTGCTGGTTTGAACACCAAGCGGGTCCCGCTGTCTGCTGGCGTATACATTCAGCCACGATAGGGGGTGTAGAAAGTGAGATAGTAGCGGGACAGGACTCTAGTGCACGGTACACACACTAGGTATGGGGGAGTGCGTGCGGGCATCCTCTTAGATTCTACGTGACGGTCCAGGGGGGGAGTGTGCGAGAGCTGTCTCGGGGGGAGGAGTGCGCAGCAGTGACCAAGTTGGAGAAGGACTCTACTGCAGTATCACACATGCACGAAGGCTGATGTGTTGATGGGAGGGGGGGCGACACAGAAATCCATGAGCTCTGTCATACCATTTCTGCTCTATGACGGGGGGCATGTGAGGAACCGTGGATCGATGTATCATGCGGGTGTGCGTGTGATGTCCATGAAGGAGGGCGTCTCGCTATTACGGATGGTCATCGGGCGGGCGTCAACGTCGTTGTGATTATACGGCGGAGATATAATGGGTGGCGGCATTATCGCAGTGGATCATGGGTGCGCACACATATGTGCGTGCGTGTAGGACACGGGTGATATGTAGGGTAGTGTCCAACAATTATATTCTGGTTGTTTTGGCAACTGACTTGCAATACTGATTCTACTGACACGCGACCTGGAGTACGGGCATCATCACGGGTATCATTGTGGAGCGTATGGATTCGATAGAGCGGCCGCGGATAGGGTAGACGTGGCAACCAGGACGATAGTAGATGGGGACAGGGTAGTGTTCCGCTGAGATGTTACTCTTGAAAACGAGCGTAGGGGTGGCAATAAACCGACAGCGTCAGTGATATCTCGTTTACCTGGTGGAATGACAGTGGATGCAACTTATGACATGTCTCTAATCACTCAGATTCCTACATCTTACTCATTGGTGTATCTCCGATGATCATATGAGGAATGCTAGAAGATGGCTATAGAGTTGTGCGAGCGGTAGCGCTTGGTGATGCGGGCAGCGTGATCTGGGATGTGGGGGGGGGGGGGGGGGGGGGGGGGCGGGGGGGGGGGGGGGGGTGGGGGGTGGGGGGGGGGGGGGGGGGGGGGGTGGTTGGGGGGGGTGGGGGGGGGGGGGCGGTGGGGGGGGGTGTGGGGGGGGGGGGGGGGGGGGGGTGGGGGTGGGGGTGGTGGGGGGGGGGGGGGTGGGGGGGGTGTTGGGGGTGGGGGGGTGGGGGTGTGGGGGGGGGGGGGGGGGGGGGGGGGGGGGGGGGGGGGGGGGGGGGGGGGGGGGGGTGGTGGTGGGGGGGGGGGGGGGGGGGGTGTGGGTGGGGGGGGTGGGTGTGGGGGGGGGGGGATATATATTGGGTGGGGGGGTTGGTTATGGGTGGGGGGGGTGATGGGGGGGGGGGGTATGGGGGGGGGGGGATTAGGGGGGGAAGGGAGAGCGCAAACCACGAAGAGAACCATGTGATCTTCTATTCGAAGGGGGAGTGTCACGACGACGGCAGCTCTGCATCTTTGCAGTACTGCAGGAAAAATGAGGCCGGCCAGATCGCGGAATAGTGACTTCGTGATATCTCACCGGGGTGATAGCGCATTGTATTCTCATAGCGGACTAGATGGGGGGGGGGGATCTGATGTCGGCCGGCTGCGCACACACTCTACAGTCGGTGATGTAGCGGGGTCTAGCGTCGATACCTTAGAGTCACGAGCGGTGCGATGCAGGTGCCTAGAGGGTTGAGCCTATCGTGGTGCGCTCGCAGTCTCGCGGGTCCGTCAGGAACGCAACACTGGAGAGGCAGTCTGAAGATGGCACGGGGGGTGGACGTTCTGGGACGTAGCACAACAGCGGAGGGAGTCGTGGTCGTACCTGGTGCGAGCCGTGAGACTGCTGCTAGGTTGGTTCGCGTTAGCATATCGACTTTAGGATGTACCAGATATTGATTATCTTCTGAGTGCGAAGATGTTTGCTGTAGTGGGTTGGGAGTATACTAATCTCCCGATATTGGTGCATCTTTTCTATGATTTGGTTCAGCGTGTGATATTTTCTACGCTCATTAGGGAGCAAGCAGACTGCGGCGGATAATCGGGGGGGGGTGGTGAACGCAGATCGTTACGTGCACATTCCTTCTACAAGTTTCGATTGGGTGTTGCAACGCTGGTTAGGGGGACTATCAGTCATCGTGCGTTTGTGGCACTTTATGAAAATATAGGTTTGCTTAAATTCAGCGAGGATTTTTGATAGCTATTTTATTACGTGTGCTAATTTAGAGTGGACTTTTGTTGGCATATTCCTATCATTTATTTGACATTTAGCAATTGTTCCTATAAATTTAAGGGATTGACTTTTGCTTGACATCCTCGGTGTGGCTTCAATTCATGTGCATTTTGACGAGGTGCCTACCGGTCTGTTACCCACCACCTCGTCTATACTGGTTGCTAGAGGCAGTTGGTCGTTGCTGGATTGGACTAGATACACATTCCTCGTGGCCGTACTAAGCTCGAAGAGTAGTCCCATGCACTCAGTTTGGAGCGGACTACTGTCCAGGCACCGCCTTGTGTGCGATTGATTCCCCAAATACAGCGCGCTTGTGTTTGCCTGTAAAGGGGTGTGGGCCGCCTCCGTAGGTGAAACTTGGCTCCCGTCCACCTGTCTCTTGCACTTATTCCATCCTGTTTACACTGGATAGTGGGTGTGTGGTTGGAGCTGTAGGTGGTGCAGAGCAAGTCACCCACGGTCCCTCTGTAGGCGCAAGCGTCCCATGGCAGCCCACTTGGAGGCCGCAGTGACAAGAAAATTAGCAATCGAATGCGGCCGACCAAAAATACAGTGTGTACTGTTGAAGGTGGACTTTACCGACAGGAAATACGATCCTTTCTTGCTACCAAAGCTACATGGAGGACAAATTTTTTCTTTGTGACTCTAGCAACGATCCATTTCAAAGCTTGAACCAAATTAACAACTCATACCCGTCGTTTAATTTCACATTCTAAATTAATGAGAATGGTAAGCTGCTCTCCTTGGCTATTTTGTAGCAATAAGGAAACTATATATCGTTTGAACGACAGAGCTTTCGAAAGACGACCTGGGTTTGTTTGTACACGCATTTTCTTCGGTTTCCTACCGATTAATTACGAGCAAAAGTTATTGCTTTGTCTGATTCACTTGACCAAAATATTTACAGCCCAGAAACGCTAGAAGCTGATACGGGTTTCATACTCAATGCCCTGAATATTCACGGATATCACACTGCTTTTATCAAAGAATTTTTCTTCATTATTTCTATGCCAAAAGCAAAAGTGACTGAGAGAATACAGTGGTTTTATTTTCGTACTTTGCAAAAGGGATAAAAGTTCTTAGCTGTTGTGCAGGAAAAGTTCTTCTGCACGAAACCTACCGTACCAGTGGCAATGGTTTTGTATTGGGCATGGGTTGCCACCGTCTCTCAGATCAAAGCATGGCCACATCGTTGCATCGCTAGAAATAGCTCATGTCCCAATGCTTATTTATCTCCCGGTTGTAAATGTTTGACGAGATTTATCGAAAAGAAATTTATCGCGATCACCATTATTTTATCTACTATCCAATGATTGTCTCTGAATCATGGCTATATTTCAATAAATGTTAGCATGTCCTATTTGGCGTAAAAACTGTGATAACGAAACCATCCATGTGATTAAAGTGTTTGTTTATCTTCTGGGCGAATCTTGCGCAGGATCATAAAACTTGCACTTTCTATGTGGATTGATTGCTCTCGTGCACTAAATGTTGCACTTGAATAAGTTGACTAGATGCACGTAAAATCGCGCATCCTCTATTTATGAATGTTTAGGAGTTCGCATATGTTTACTCATATAGCGTGTCAGCGTCCCATCTATCTGGGCAAAGCATATCATCGCTATGTTTAGTTCCATTCTTCACAGCCAAGATCAAGTGAAGCGAATAAATAACTGGTAAACCTTTCTTACAATGAACAACGGTGCGTTTAACCAAAACCCAGAGGGTTGTAGAAGTGGGAGTCTTTTCTGGTGATTACAATAAATAGTTCGGTACAGCCACGGTGATTTTCGTGGGTGAATACTAATTGTAAAATAATTTTCCTTTTAAAATCGAGAATGAACTTGTGACTGGTAACCCTAACTGATGGGAAACTAACGAATTTAAACAGTGCCAACTTTTCCAGTAGCACAATTTCCCTTCTTTGAGCTGTCTGTATGACTACAAAATCAAATCCCCTTTCGCGAGCCGAACGAAATGAATCCGTTAGACTGACTACCAAAGTGACACAACAACCTTTCATCCATGATATTTCAAACTTATCCTAATTATAGACCTATGCAATAGGTATAATGAATGTCAGAGAAGTTCATACTCAGAGTTTACATCGACCACACTTCGTTGTCGTAAATATCCTTCGTGCAGTAAGCATTAATCACAATCTGCTGGAAACGAAAAGCAAAACCTCCACATATTTCAAATGAATTAGCATCCGACACGCATGTCACGTTGTTTGCGTCACATGGGTGATATAGTTCATCGGTAGATGGTGACCACCAGAGAAATCAAAACAAGCACAGTCCAGATTGCTGTGTAGTTTGTCATGAATTTCCCAAAATCTGTCTGACTACGTTTATCGTACTGCAAGGTTAGCAAAGGAGGGCAATCTGCATGTTTAAACTATAATTATCGCCTCTGCACGAATGTATTGAACTACTCCGTTCACATCTTTTCTACTGACATACATGGGTGGTTTGAGAAAACTATGCCGAGTGACATATCGCTAAACTCCCGTATTGCAATCCCGAAATTTTATAACTCATCTCATTTCGATGAAGTGCGGATTTATTTCACGATGCTTTGTAAATCGTCATTTGCTGATTCCAAACAACAAAATACCTAAGAGCTATTACAGACATGCTCAGGGACGGTTTAATGAACTTTACTCTGTTTTTGCTTTAAACAAAGCCACATGGAACTTAGCAACATATAAGGATCCAGAATCATATAGTTCCATAGCAACTCATCTTATGTACATATACTCAACAACACGTTCACCTATGTATACCTATACAACCAGGCATACTCTGTGAACTCAAGGGACGGTGTAAAAGGCCAACGTTTGTTGCATGCATAAAACATCTGGCACTCCTGATCCGGAACAGAGCAGAAAAAGGACTGTCAGGTTACACCATCTGCGAGGTAGAGTGGACAGCAAAAACATAGGCAGAAAGCTTGCAAGAATCGTATAAAAGGCCACCATATTATCCAAATAATATGTTTCACGTTTGAACCGCCACTGTTCTGAATCGCGCTTTCCAGTCTCTTGAACATCGTTAGAAGGATGTTCTGGCACGCCATGTACGAAGGTTGTGTTTAGGCGGTCTTGTTTGCTTTGCCCCTCTTCGTGGTTTCTTTTTGATTGTCGCACTCGCTAATGGACTTCAGGATAGGTACGTATCCCGCATGATCCTTGTTATAGCGCGCTTGCGGAGAGCAAAACGTGTTCTACGTCGGTGGAGGATTCTAGTGTTAGTCGAATAAGTCTGGGATCGCCATAGTGTGGCGAGTTCGGATGACGAGTAATTCGTAAAAAGTTTATGGACTTGGCTGTGTTACGCATCTGCATGCACAATGAATTCCATTGGTCTTGGTCGTCTGAAAACTTATCCCGCAATATGATGGCGGTAGATGCAGGGACATTTGAGCATACAACAGTCCGGGCACTGATGTTGGATGCCTTTTTCGTTGATCTACATGGCATGGTACTCGTTTGTCCTGACCTGCTGACAATTGTTGATTGTTTGCTATTTGTCCCTCTATTCGCGTTAACGTTGTTTACAATGAAAGAGGCCGCAACGGCGGCCTCTCGGTGGACCCTTGCAGCAATCTCTGCACATGTAACCAATGTTCTGGGAGGCTTAGTCTCGACAAGAGATATTTGAGCTACAGATGCCGAGGGTTGGTGTTCGGCTGCTTCTTCCTTGTTAATGCTAGATGTCCAGTCTAAAGGAATTTGCTTCACCGGACGTTTTGAATGGTGCTTGAATTTCGTAGCCGTGAGTATTGTTTGACTCTCGTAGGTACGGTCTGTTTTCGCCCGGCGTTTTACCAAAGTTGGAAAAGACAACGGAGATGGAGACGTGGCTGATTGCTGTTCAAGGGAAGCGGATTGTTCAGCATTCCGTTGATCAGAAACCGCTACATATCTGTGATGCATACTCGCTTCCATTGAAGCAATCTTATCATTTATCCTCTGCTCTGCTTCTGCGGTTAACCGGTTGCATTACTGAGCTAGGATAAGCAAGCACTTAACGAGGGGGTGGTTGAACACGCAGTACAGAACCAAAATGAATATTGGGAGCCACTTCGCTAACATACCTTTTGTTGGGACACATTTACACATTTCGTATGATACCATTCCAAACAGTGCGAGCAAGCCAGACCGATTGTTACTACTCGATGAAATTCTTCTAAACCGCAACTGCCTTTCGCTTGGAACCAATTCAAATCGCATGCACACTACGGGAAAGTGCTTCCTTGGAAGAATGTTGATAGTAGCACC